TACTTCTGACAGACAGGACAATAAAATATGTTTTCCTACATACATAATTTACTGTGGTACCTGCAGATCAGGGAGGTAGCATTTCTTCCAGTGGTCCATAAAGACAAAATCTATCCTTTCCAACCCATAGTTAGACCGCAGCTGAGGGATCACTTCATCAGATGGGTTCACAATGAGCTCTACCTGGAGAACACACAGTGTGAATGTCTCAAATGTATATCAACTATACATAATCAATACATTAGATAAAAATGTTTATGTAAGAGCAAATAGATGTGATTGCCTGCAGGTTGGTCACTGGACATACATACAGAGAGATGTTGTATCTGCTTTCTCACCGTGTCATCATCAAACCCTGCCAGGCGGATGATTTTCTCAGTGATGTCAGCATTGTTCTGGTCCATCTCCACGCTGTAGAGCCTGGCACCCAGTGGCAAAGCCCGGGCAATCCTCACAGTACTGTACCCACAGTGGGAACCCAGCTCCAGCACTACCAAAGGGCTCTGCTCCATCACCAGCCGGTCCAGGATCTTCCCTACACACAGACAAACCAGACAAATACAAAAACACACATACAGTATTGGTTTAATTTAAGGAAATTTGAGTCATGGTTCCATTAAAAAGAAAATTTGTTGGATTCTCTAAGTGATCTCTTTACCCTTTTTAGGCCCAATGTTGCTGATATACTCCACCTTGCTGCACCAGACATCAAAGGCATCCAGGATGCTGTCAGGATCTCCAGGGGTCGCATGAGTGAGAACATACTGGTAGGCACGCTCCTCTCGACTCATACCAGTAACACAGTCTTGCCATATCCTGACAAGGACTGCCCGGTAGAACAGCACAAAGTAGTAGCGGTACCTGATTATGAATGTCAGCAGGAGGGGAAGAAAGGCCAAAGCAACAGCAGGAGACACCATCCTAGCTCATACAGACACACAGAGGTAGATTCATTAGTCATCAGGGATAACAGAGGTGCAGCAAGACCTTCAGTTGACCTTGAGTGCCACTATTTAGTCCAAATTCCTGACCTGCTATAGTCCCTCTCTGTAGCAGCAATGTACCTATCGATGGCATACCATTCTGTATTAAAGCTGCAAAATGTTTGCACTAAATATCTCAAAACAGGGGTTAAGACTGAGTCATTTCAGATAACCATTTTCATTAATAATCAAAGCTTAACAATGTTGAAAGGGGCAAACTCATTATTCCTCAGTTTATTGTTACTATGAGTAGTATCAAGGCTCTGCAGCAAGTTTGGTTATGTTTTAAATGTATAAAATGATCAAAGCTACAAACAATTACTGCAAAACTACAGAAAGTTCACACGATTGTTGAAATATTGATACAACAAAGGAAAAATCATAAACACATAAAAGAATACTGTTGACTGTTATAAGACTGTTGTGAGACAGAAATAATAATGACAATTTTATTTAACAAAATCATCACTTTTTTTTAATAATCACTTTGAGATGAAAGATCTTCTGGTTTCTAGTTATGCAAGATGAGCTCTGAACAGAGAAAGTATTTCATGCTTCACTTGTTTGATGGATCAAAGAGAAAATGCTGCTGCTTTCTAGGTATTTCTAATATGTAAGGTAACTGTACACTACTGGCTTCCTGCACCGAGCAGAACAAATGCTATAACAACATATTTGCTTCAAAACAAAGTCTCTCTTCCTGTGAGTGAAAATCAAAAACTCACCTGGTTTCTACAGTTTGGTGAAAGCAGAAGTAGTAGTGCTGATAATAACAAAGATGACAGTGGCTCTTCAGCTGAGGCAAGCACAGGACAGAGGTGGTGTGTGTGTGTGTGTGTGTGTGTAAGAGAAGGTAAGAGACCTGGGGATATAAATAATTTATGTATCAGGTGGATGACTGTGAATGTCCTGTAATTATTTTAAATAACAGACGCTGACAGCAACATAACTAACCTTACCACAGTTAAACATCAGTTTTTGATCAGACATGGGGAGAGCGCCTTGCACAGATATTTCAAAGAGGGCCCACACTGTGGAAACGAGCAGAGAGAGGCAGTGTGAAACTGACATTTGATATGTCGAGTAGCATCAGCAGGTGTGTTTTCTGTGTGTGGATGTATGGAGTCCAGTTTCTTTCATTACTAAGTCATAATGGAAAGATCAAGAAAAACATAAACAGAAAGCAAAGCTGATTTATTGAATATTATCTAATGTAACTCAATCCAAAATAATAGAAAAAACATATTTAAATGTTTAAAAAATCAAGCAAATATTTAAAACCTACAACAGAATCTTATAAGGTCCAAATAAATATATTAAAATGCAAAACCTCAAATCTAACTTATTGAATGTTTGCATCACATTTCCTGTCCTTCCCATTTTCTTACTGCTTCCTTTTTGATGTAATCTCAGATTTTAACATCCTAACGTGATAATCACTCCCTTGTTTTCACTCAAACTACTGAGACATTGCTGCTGTGAACTATAAGAGTCAAAGAAAAACATACATGCATGGTGTATGTAAAAGTATTACAAGATTGTGATAAGAAACAACTACACTTCACTCAAATATGTAGCAATACAATATGTGTGATGGAATCTGTCTAGTACCAAAAGTATTACCAAAGCCACTGTGTCTTCTGTATATACACAGATGTACACAAAAATACCAAAAGTGCACAAACACTGCCTCAGTTGGACTTACATTGGTCTTCACAGGCCATGTGTTGTAGTAACTGTTGCAGTAACACCTTACCAGTACTGCCTTTGTGAGATTTCCTGAACTGTGTGGTAAATCATAACGTCACAGGAGTGTGCACCAACATCAGGTTGTGCGGCTCTTGCTTGAGCAAAGACAAACATGGTGAACAATGGTAAACTAATCATGGTATATTTATGCATTTGGTAGCAATTCGATGTGATGCACTAGATTGCACAGCAGCTAGTATGTAGTGTACAATGAAGCTTTGATTGGTTATTGATTGCATGTAGCACCTTTTCAGAGTTAATCAGGAACAATTAATCAAGAAAGTGCAGATTAACAGACTGTTCTTTTGACACTGGTTCATTTACATAGTATCTAACTCCAGTGATGCATTCACTGTAGTTCTGACTTGTTCCTTATTCATTGTTGGTGAATTTTATGTTCATTACTGTAAAGTGTTGTTGTTGTTAGAAACTGTTACACACCACATATGACCACAAAGCAACACCCATGAGACAGGACCGCAGTGGTTGATAACTGCCTGTCACTGCTCTGCACAGGGCTGTTTCAGGAGAGCTCTGATGAACTTCTTCAGCTCCTTGTCTGCTCTGGTCCACCTGATCAGCCGAGTCAACACCAGTCTTCCCTCTTCAGCCTGGGCCAGGGCCAGATACCATTCACCCAGGGCCCCGTTTCCCAACTTTTCCCCCTCCGCTGCTTGTCTCTTATCTAAGTGTCCCCCACCAAGATCTCTATCTTTGTTCATCTCTGCAGAATCTAATCCAGGGCAAATACAGGCGCCTCCTTCTTGCAGCCACAAAGTGCTGTGGGCCATTGCACCTCCAATGCCTTCTGCCCTCTCTGCATCTCCACCCGCCCACCTCAGGATGCGGCTGCGGGCCATAGACGGTCCCCTCCCACCGTGGACACACTGCCCAGACGCATCTTGAATGCTGAGATCAGGAAAAAACTATTTAACAGGTGTCATTTTAGACGCAATGTAAAACAACCCTTCTATCTGAGTAGATTGTTTGTTCTGTAGCCTATTAAGTGAGAATCATATCTTTTTTATTTAGATAATAATAAAAAAGGTTATGCTGTGCACTGTCCCATTCTCAAAAGAAAAAAGAGATGTATTCTGTGTCTATATCACTTTGCTCCCACCATATGGACTGTGGCAGAAGTTTTCCTGGATGTCAGTCTCCCCTTCAGCAGCCAGACTACAGGCATCACAGATAACACTTCCTGGGAGATGAAGAAGAGAGTGCAGGTAGAAAAGCAAAAAGGAATAAAATAAAGAAATTACTTTCAAAGTTAACGTGCATTATACCATGCATTATATACAGCACAGTCTCTGGCAGTATATAATGGTCATGACTGAACTGTTGAGGCTAACACAGATTTAGGTAATGCTGTGCAATCTTAAAGACCCATTTCTTGTTATTTATCAGCAGAAATAAGCACTGATACAAAAAAAATGATATGAAGGTATGCTAATATTAGTAGAACTCTAATTTGGGCACCATACAAAAATATACAATACCCACCACTAACAGTATGGTGGTGTAAATTTTTAAAGCCTGACTAAAGTATAAATGTAGATTTGATTATTTGTGACCTTTTCTCTAACTTACTTTTAAATGAGATTTTGGATCATTTTACCCCTTTAAGGCTCAAACAGGTATTTAACAGTACATAAACATCTGAACTGTAGCCCCAAATACAAATATGTAAGACATCACAAGCATTGTATGCATTGTATTTTATAGGCTTACAGGAAATCCTGTCAATTATCCACCCAGGATCAATAAAATCTTAATTAGCCTATATTTTGTATTTTGAATGTGATTCTGAAAGGCAGACTAATAACAATAATAATAAGTTATCACATAAATATTCTTTCTATCAGATAAATGTAGTGGGGTAAAAGTAGGTTACAATATTTGCCTCTGAAATGTTGTGAAGTCCAAGTAGTTTTTGAAAGACTAGAAGAAAATGGAAATATTCAAGTAGGCAGATAAATAAAAAAAACTGTACTTAGGCTAAATACGGTACTTGAGTAAATGTACTGAGTTACTTCCCACCAATGGTGAAAATTCAATCAGCGGCTGTGTTTAAGTGTTAAAGCTGACAAACATCCATCCACTGACCTTTCAGCGCCTCCTCCCTCCTCACCTCCTCCGCCGTCCGCTCCTCCTGTTCTCCGGATGCCACGATACAGAGCTCGGTTCCGCGCGGATCCGGGAAGCGGGAGCAGTTGAACATCTCCGGCCAGGGGAACCCGAACGCGCTCATCACGGGCACGCAGCCATCACGCACGGCCTCGCAAAGGCTCCTGCAGGGTCTTACTGGTCCGCTGAGCTCGGGCAGACACACCGGTGCGAAGAGCGAGCACAGGAACTTCTTGGTGTCCCCGTGGCAGAGCTTGGAGATGAGGGGCAGCCAGGCTGCCGACTGCTGCCGGGCCTCTTTCAGTGAATCATGGCCGAGCAAGTTGGGGATCCACATGTGTCTGTAACCGATCCCGTGGCACAGAGACAGGGTGCTCGGGATGGGTTTACACACCGAGCGGACCGAGGGGCTAAGCCCGAGCGACAGTGGGCCGAGGCGTTCGGGAGCCACAGTGTCAGAAGCATGACAAACCCACAACAGCAGACTAAGGCTGAGCAGAAACACAGACATCGTTTCTGCTCCAACAAGCACAGGGTCTCTCGGCATTTCTGCCTGGTCTTGACCGGCCTGTGGGGGTAAACAATGAGGTGTGGAGGAAACGGGGCTAAATTAGAGGGAAGGCGCCTCCCAGTCATCTTCCTATCCCACCACACTGCTGCGTGCCTCCCGGCGCTGCCTCCACCTTTACGACGGCAGTGTAGTGTGTTATGGTTAAACTGCAGTTTGTTTTATAAATCTGATTCTGAAAGGCAACTAAAGTTACCAAATGCAGTAAAGGTTAAGTAAAACTATATTTGTCTCTAAAATGTAGGGAAGTCAAAGTATGAAGTAGCAGGAAATGGAAATACTCAAGTACAGGTGCCTGAAAATTGCACTTATGTACAGTGTAAATGTAGTTTGAGAAAAGTAAATTGATGCAGTGATATGCAGTAGGCTACATAGTCTTCAGTGTACCTACAGAGAATTTATTCCATTATATCTCAAACTCAAATACTGTGCTACTCCACTACATTTATCTGAAAGCTTTAGCTTAACTACCATAGTTACTTTTCTGATATTGATCAGTATTTTAAGTATTAGCCTTATTGTTGTGTGCTACATTTTTAAAAATGTCTGATCAGGCCTAATCATTGTTATTTTATTCAGAAATCCTCCTATGCTTGGTTTAATGCCCCCCCCCAGCAGTGTTTGGTACTCTGTCATCACACTGAGTCAGAGGGCGTCACTGACCCTTTCATCTTTTTTCCAGAGACACTGCCATGTGTGCACCAACAAGCCTCATCCTGTTCCCTTCTCCTGCTGCTGTCCATTTGATTTTGCTCAGTTGCACCTTGTTATGAATTGAAATATATTGAATTTTATGAGATATTTTGCATCTCACTACAGGAGACAGGACAGGTTGGACCGATACTTTCCTTCTGTAGCCTACAACTTTGCAGTGTGTTAATACCACATATTTTATTACACCTGTAATGTTTATTTTAAGATTATAAACAGTAACTACAGTGGCTTAATAAAGTATTTAGAGCCCCCTTATTTTTTGATGTTGATTTAATTTTAAATTGATAACATTTCTATTGTTGCCCATCACTTTACTCTCCTACTCTACACAATAACTCTTAATTACAAAGTGAAAATATTTATATTACAAAAATTTAAATCCTGCATTTGCCAAAGTATTCAGAACCCTAACAAAGTACTCTGTAGAAGCCTCTATGGCATTCAGTCTTCCTGAGGAAGTCTGTATTTGGGCAGATAATAAGTGTGAACTTCCATCTTCAGTCTCAGATGTTCAATGGGGTTTAGGGTTGGCTGTGTTCATCCTTCCCTCAATTCTGAATCTTCCTGTCCCTGCTGCTGAGAAACACCCCTATAGCGTGATGCTGCTAGTACCAAGCTTCACTGGGGGCGGTATTAGCAGGTGATGTGGTTTTCATCAGACATGTCTATGGGTTCTATCAAATAAGTCATATTTTTTCTCATCAGACCAGAGAATGTCTTTCCTCATACATGCTCTCAGAGTTTACTAAGTGCTGTTTTGTATAGACTGTCATATACCATGTCCATCTCTATCATATAGGCGTAATTGACAGCGCTCTACAGAGAGCTCCTTGGACTTTATGGCTTGGTCTGAACTCCAATGAAACTGTAGACACATCTCAAGGATAATTAAAAGAAAATATATGACCATAATTTGGAGTGCCACAGCAATGGGTCTGATATTTGTTTTTATTTTTAATAAATTTTAAAAATGTCAAAAAAATTGTTTTCACAATGTCATTATGAGTAACTGAGTTTAAACTGATGCAATTTAAAGTCATTTTGTGTCAGATCCTCATCCCTTTCCACTTCTTTCCTGGCTAAGGACCCACCTTTGCACGGTTACTTTTGAGTCCTCACAACAGCTGGCTTAATGGGTGCCCTCGTATTCTATCTATCTATCTATCTATCTATCTATCTATCTATCTATCTATCTATCTATCTATCTATCTATCTATCTAGCTATCTATCTAGCTATCTATCTAGCTATCTATCAAGTAAGGTCCAGGTCTGGTTCATGTATATTTACTACAAAGCTCACGTTTGAAATCCCCCATCACGTGATGGAGGCCATGGCCGCTTCTAAAATACCGGAAGTAGTCCTTATGTTGTTGCACCAGAGTTGTTGTCATGTGATAGCTCGCCCGAGGAGCTGCTATTGACAGTGGCTTCATACCTTTATATGAAGCTAAATTAAAAAGGTCGCAGGAGAGAAGTTTTATGTTTGCTAGAGAGGAGAATCACGGGTCGTTTCTCACGGCGAACAGGGGAACCCGGGTTGTGTAGCTGCCATGGGTTGCTGTTACAGCAGCGAGAACGAAACCACAGAGGAGGTAACGTTAGCTTCTAGCTGGCTAAAATGTCCCGATAACTACAAGATGTTATGTTAAGATACAAATAACGTTGCATTGTTTTATCTGTTAAGAATGTTTCATGCATACAGTTCCTTTGAGCAATACGTTACGTTAACGAGTGGTCGTTTTTTTTTTTTAATTGTTGAGGTGATATGACAGCTAAAAAGCAGCTTTAGCATGCTTGATGGCTTAATCCTTCGGGTCTTGGGCCTGGGCCCATGCAGACTGCTGAAAGTTGATAGCAAAGAAACACATTTAGTAGAAATGTGTAGACATGACAACTTACTTACAGCCTCGTTTACCATTAGTAGTACGTGCCGATTTATTTCTGAGGTGGATGGTCTCACGAAACCCATCCGAATTAATGCTAACTCTCTAAATACTCATTGGTTGCATAAACAGGTCCTACAACAAAAGCGAGTTCATTCAGCATACCACCACGTTCTTGTGTTTTTTGTGTCATATGACCCTTAAAATCCTCAGCTATCTTTAGATCACAGAAAGAAGCCAGCTCTTTCTTCATGCCGAATATCTTTCCCCATACGCAGTTGATAATATCCTAATAGTATTAATCCGAGTGTAGTAAAAATAAATACCTTGTGTTATACCCATATAATAGATATTAGTCCGAAATGTAATTCTTATTTGTGAGATAATCACCAGGCAACTTCAGTCAACTTTGTGCTGTTGGTTGAAATCAGTGTGAACTTGATTAGCGATTCAGTTAGGAGTCCAGTTTTACTGGCATCAGCTAAACTAGTGTAGGATTCGAGTTGAGTGAGTTACTGACAGACTGTGTCAAATGATTGTGTGTCCATTCCTGTTTCTGAACTAATAAAGTGAGCCTTACAACCTTGTCTGCAAGGCTTGTACTGTTATCTGTTTCCTATGTACTTATGAGTAACACAGTACTCAGTTGTTTGAGTTAACAGTCTCAACTGTTATGGTTTTATCATGCTTAATTTCATGCTGAATTAAAAAGTGAACTTTATTGAATTGTTACATAACTATAACAATGTCATGAGCTAAGCACATCCTTATCATTCAGTTATGTTCTGACTGACCTGTTCTAGAGGAATGATGATCGTAAGCCGCTGATCCCCCACCCGAACCCTGTCAGCAAACCCCCAAACGGGACTGACTGGGCCAATACTAGTGTCCCTTCAGCACGAACAGACGAACAGGCCCTTCTTACATCCATCCTCACTAAGACAGCACAGTAAGCCACTCCTTTTAAAACACTATAGTTGAGCCAGATCCAGCACGTTTCATGATAGCAATGCAGCAAATCATGTAGGCGTTTTAATAAACCTACCATTATTTCCTGTCAGAAACATCATTGATGTTGCAGCAGCTGAGTCTGTCATGATGGAACAGCATGAATACATGGACAAAGCACGGCAATACAGGTATGTGGGTGAGCAGTTGCAGAATATGTGTAGCAGGAAACTGTTGCTCTTTTGGTTATAGGTATTGGAAAGCTGTCTCTATTGGCTTTTAAATGAGAATCTGAATCTGACCGTACTGTAAAGATCCCATAGGCATTTTAGCTGTTAGAGCTGAATAATGATAACATTCTTCATTTATAAGTTGCTGAGCTTAACTTTGTCCTCCATGTACTGTACATACACTGTATGGTGCTTTGTGTGTTGTGTTGTCTGGTAGTATCTCATGAATTTATAACTTCTGCGAAAGTAAGTAATTTAAACTAGTGAGTTGTTCAGATTATTAAAAAGTGACTCAGCTGTACATTCTCATCAGTGGAGATGTGTGTTTGGTGCTGGTGTAAATGTAGCTGGGGAGAATGAAACTGTTGAAATTTCTAAACCAACCCAGTGGCTTGAGAAGATAGTGAGGGAAGTGATTTAACCGACAAATTGCAACAGCACTACCTTTTTTCCTTCAAGTTAAACAACTCAGATGCAGTGACACCTAGTAGCACTTGTTTGATTACAGTTCCATATAAAACTATAGGTTGTCAGGACACAGCAGCTGGCTTTAAGAGACAAGATTGTGTGTTCAGGACAAACTGTGGTTTAAAATTAAACTCTAAACTGTGTCTAAGGTTATGACAGAGCAGCAGCCTCAGTTAACTTCTGGATTTTTTTTTTTTGTTTGTTTCAGTACAAAGCTGGCGGTATTGAGCAACGGTTTGCCCCAGGGAAAAG